TATTTTGCAACATTACAGAGTTCAAACATTCCCTTGCTCTGTCACCTCTCTTGCACTGGTAAAAACCCATAGGCCCCAAACCCAAATGCCTGCTGGTCCTTACCAGGCTCCTACATTTATAGAAAGTGGACCGCCCACATTTCTTCCTGTTTTACATAATAAAGAAAGAAAAAATGATAAAATAACAAAAAATAACTACACAAAATTCAACAATTAACCTATAAATAAAGTCTGTAAATAATACAAAAAATATATAAGTTCAGGAATTAACACAATTCAAATGGATAAAGAAATAAAGAATAAATAGCTCCAACAGGCAGCCTGCAGGTTAAAACCTCATGTTTGTCAGTGTGTAGAAAAGTTTGGTTTTTGAATGAAAATGTACTTATATGAAATATTTTGGCTTTTTCTTTGTGAGAAAAATTTCACTTCTGTATCTAAAAAAGTCACCCGAAGTGACATGACGTGAGTTTGCTTAGTTTTACAGCAGTCAACAGTTGATACCAAAGCTAATTCAGACAATGAAGAGATTTTAAATGTGTAAAACTACACATAAGATACCACAACCCAACTATGAGCCTGTTAGATACCCAAGAGAGCAGAGAGAGACCCGCAGGGGAATAAATGGCCAAAGGAGACAGAAAGAGTTGTGGAGTTAGTGGAGGCAATTTGACCACAAAAGTTTAGTTCAGCAAAAAAAAAAAAAAAAATTGCATCCTGCTAGTTTTTTAAACCAAAGACGTCCTTATGAGAGATTTTGCCTGGTGACCTGTTAGAACCAGAAAACAGATCATACAAAATCTCAGTTGGTAAGCAGTGAGAAACACAAGCTGCCGGTAGGGCAATGTCTGCTGCTTCCTGTACGCTCGACGCCGCCAGAAAAAATAGATCCGGTTTTCTTCCTGTTAAAACTTTCTCCAGCATTCATATCGATCCCAATCATAGTTCCCAATCAGACATCCACTAGCAAGTACATGCGGTATCTCCGATTTACTGAGCTGTCGAATCCTGTAAGATTTGCAAAAGGACTGGAAAAGCGGTGGTATCTTAGTCTATCTGAGGGAACACATTTCATTCCTTTCAGCAGCAGCCAGTGCAGCCCCCAAAACTGCAATATTTGACCATATTTATGATCAATAACAACAATCTCAAATTTCTACAGAACTCAATTACATATCCGCTCTACCTAATATCTACCTACTCTCTACATAAAGCTGAAGCAGCGCTGACTATTTGAATCCTTGACCTGAAATCAAATGATGCAACTTGTTAAAGATGCAGTTTTCAGACACACTGCTAAGAAATGTCACTTTTATTAGTAAATTTACGTCATCCAAGCTTTTTAAACATGATCCATTAGACTCTTAGTTTTGTAGAAACTTTAACTTGCGAGTGGTTTAAAAAACTGGGCAATCTAAAAATTTCATACAGTATTTCAAAAACATCTTTTAATTTTTTTTTCACGTAATGCTAATAGCTTTTAGTAGCTTCACGTCTGGATGAGTTTACACTTTGTTTTTCAATATCAGTTGATTCTATTAGGTGTAAATCTGTTTCCTTCTCAGCAACACTGTTAGAAACACGAGGTTACAAATATCTGTTACAACCATCTTTGTTATTATGTCAGTATATATTGCTACATGGTGTATCTGTGTGTAACTTGCCATGGCAACCAGGAATCATTCATTAGTTGAGCTGTTCATTAAGCCAAATCCTAATTATGGGCATAAAGGAAAGATCATAAAAAGTATGATATGTGGTTTTGTATTCTGGATGTAAAGCAGAGTGACTGGATTAATTTTTTTACAATTTATATGCAGATGACTCCTAGCATTCGTAGCAATATCGGACTCACATTACAGAGAGCAAGGCTGGCATTAATTCTTATAAACGTGAAATATTTTCTCTCCAAATGTGGCAAACTTATAGTTTATCCCCTTGGCTAGATATTGTTTATTTTATTTGTTTGTTTTGTTATTTCTTATAACTCGATTTATTTTGCAGAATGAAGCTTCTTGATGGAATTTCATTGATAATTCAGTATCTGAGCTGAAAGCCTAAACTGACTCCAGATGTAGTTTGTCATTTAGCGAACACAAGATAAGTTTCTGACTTTGTGAATTATGTAAAAAATTGTTGCCAAAGGGTTTTTACTTAAGATCAACCCAAAGGAGGCAAGGAATGAAGGAAAACAGATAGGACAGAAGAAAGGA